TCTCTCTCTCTCTCTCTCTCTCTCTCTCTCTCAAATTCATTCATATAATTTTTAATGACTAATATTCGTATATCATTCAAATTACACTTCACTCTCATGTGAGAAACTTTTCTTTCTCTTTGGCAAAGAGTTTTTGCCAACAAAATTAGTCGACATTTTTTGTATATTTTTTTCTTCACATTATTTTTGGCCATAAATCGGATCCAAAATAGCCGTCAATCAAATACCCTCTATATATCCAAACGTAATAAAACGTCAGCTTTTGATTAATTAAGGAAAAATATTTTTATATTTATTTCATAATTACTTTATCGACAAAACGATTGACTGACTATCGAATCGTTTTGAAGAAAACAATAAAAAAACTAATGAAAAATAGTTTTCCTCGCAATCCATAGCAATACATGATATAACTTACAGTCCGTAACATTATATGATTTTAACATTATATGGTTTATACAGTAAATCTCACATACAGTATACGCTATACATCTCATATACAGTACATTTCTCATGCTTTTATGAGCATTAATTACGTTTAATGTTGCGCCGACAAGGCTGTCTGACAAACAAATGGTATTTTAATATTAAAGGGGTTAAAAATAACTACAAAAACAACACATAATTAATGCTCACAAAAGCTACTGTATGTGAGATTTAGTGGATAAACCATATAATGTTAAAATCATATAATGTCACGGACTGTATCGTTTCAGAGGAAAGCCTATAAATATTTTTATTTAATTGTTTTAAGAATTTTTAAATTAAATTTTAAAAGTTTGGTTCAATTGCTGTATGTTTTACCAGTAATTTACTGGTTTGTGTTTTATAAGTGCTCTCTCTCTCTCTCTCTCTCACTCTCTCTCTCTCACTCACGTCATACGTAATCATTTGCGAAATATTACAATCTCTTGAAAATGAGGTCAGTCTCTCTCTCTCTCTCTCTCTCTTTCTCTCCACATGAATTGTATTTATAATTACTTTCTCATTAAGGGTTTGGTTATGAAGTCCTTCTCTCTGTTTCTCTCACTTTTCCAAAGATTTCATATCATAGACTGAAATGTGATTTTTATTTTTGATTACATTTTTTGTTTTGTGTATTTATTTTACGCTTTTATCGTTTGATTTTGTCATTTGATAGACAGTTAGGGAAAGAGTTGGAGAGTGAGAGAAAGCGTTTCACTTTTTAGACATAAATATTATCTAATAAATTAGAAATTCAATACTTTTGTTATTCAGTATACCGTTTGAATGAAATGTATGTCTGAAAACCGTTCACATGTATTAACACATATACTGTATATCTTATTAATTGGTTTTTTAATTGCATTTTTCTCTCATTCCAGACACCATTCGTATGACACGTGAAGATCCAGTCGTGTTGACACAGTATGCCTGAGCGGCGGCCAAACTATTGAATTTTATTTGAGATCATTTCACACATCACTTCACTCCTCAGCGCACACTTCCCTCTCTATTCAACTCAAATTGAATGCAAAAAACTCTTTGATATATTAATTGTTTGATACCTTTGGGACCGAAGAGATATACCAATTATCAAGAGATATAATGTCCGACAAAATGGATAGCGATGTGAGCAATAGTTGCGAAGAGCCGTCGACTTCGAGCAAAGCGTCGTCGTCCTCATCGACACCGGTTGTGACGATTGTCACCGAAGACCGGGCCATGTCTTCCTCGACTTCAAATAGTAGTAGTAATAAACGAAATGGTGGCGAATGTGTGGTCACAACAACAACAACTGCTGTCCCGACGACCAGTCAGACACCGGAACCGCCGACCGTTCACTCGACGGTTAAACGAAAGTTCCGTTCGCTGAGCTTCGGTCGCCGTAAGAAGACTTTACAGTGTTTTGCAAACAATAAATGCAAACAACAGAGCAATACCTCTTGTTGTGCTAACTGTGAGAATAGTAAGTGTAATACCAATGCCGGGCCCACACGCAAGAAGAAGCACTCGTCGGGAATGTGGGTTCCGTTTACCAAACTGTGCGCCCGAACCGAGTCGTGCGCTGATGTGACACAAGCGGAAGCGAGCACGTCGTCCGGCGGCGACGCCTGTGTTTGTACCGCATATAAGAAGACGGGAGAATTGCACTCTCCGTCGGCCAGTGATGTGCCGCCGAGCGCTTCGACTTCGAAGTTGGATCGATTCAATCGATTGCACAATATTACAGATATTGAATCCAATCGCGCTTTGAATGGATTACGCGCTCGTGATTTGGCCACAATCGACGAGTTCTCGTCGACTTCGCGGCCAATTAATACGTATGTGGAGACCAATCCGATGGCCTTCAGTTTGGCGAATGGTAGCAGCGGTAGTGGCGGTGACAGTCCCGTCGCCGGCACGTATCAACTGCTGGCCAACGGTCAGCGCTCGAGCGAAGTCCGCAGCGTTCAGGTGAAGGTGTCTGAGTTGGCGCTGGCGTTGCGGAGCCAACTGGCGCTGACAGTAAGCCCGTACCCATATCTGGCGCGATGGGGCGAAGTGGCGGAACTGACGCCTGGCTTTCTCAACCGATTCTGCGTCCGTTCCGACTCGGCTCAGGGCCTGAGCGATGGCCAACAGATTCACACGCAAATCGATTACATCCACTGTCTTGTGCCGGATCTGTTGCAGATCTCCAACTGTAGCTTCTATTGGGGCAAAATGGACAGGTATGAGGCGGAACGGCTGCTCGACAACAAACCGGAGGGCACTTTCCTGTTGCGCGACAGCGCACAGGAGGAGCACCTGTTTTCAGTGTCATTCCGGCGCTTCGATCGCTCACTTCACGCCCGTATCGAGCAGTGGAACCACGCGTTCAGCTTTGATTCGCACGATCCGGGCGTCTACTCGTCCGACACTGTGTGCGGACTTATTGAGCACTACAAAGACCCGTCTCATTGCATGTTCTTCGAGCCGATGCTAACCATCCCATTGCACCGTAACTTCACGTTCTCGTTGCAACACCTGTCCCGAGCGGCCATCACATCGCGACTCACGTACGACTCGATACACGCCATTCAGCTGCCGAAGCGGCTCAAGAACTATCTCAAAGAGTATCACTACAAACAACAGGTTCGCGTCCGACGACTCGACGGCGATCATTGAGTGGCCGACGTATTGGCCAGACGTGTGTCCGCTATACTATTAATTGTGTAATAATTGTTTACTGAAATATATTTTAATTGTTTTTATGACTACTTTTCTTCTCTCTGTGTCTGACATTCGTATATAAAGCCCTATAATATAGAGCTCTATATCTATACATATATATTATATATAAATATATAATTTTCTCCTAAACTAATTGAATAATTAAAACTCATTACAAAATAACAGCACTTTTAATAACAAACATTATATTCTTGTTTTCTTTTCAAATTTGTAAATATATTTTTCTCTTGAATTAAAAATTCAAATTACAATTGAAAACAAAAAGTTTATTTTTTTTGCCACTCAAACGGCGGACTTTGGGTTTCCGGTTATTACGGGTTTATAATACACCATATATTTAAATATGCAGTCAAAGTAAATGATACGTGTGTTTCATTGCACCGATATTTGCGTTACAAAACCATTTGTATGTGTTTTATGTGTATTTATAATCAGCGCACAAATATTTATGATATTATATATTATATTATTTATAAATATGTAAGCGTTTTGGGGGTCGACGGAAGTGAGCCGTAAAAATATGATTATCATATTTTGTGTGTTTTTCTTATCATTCAAAACGATATTTACAATTATAATTGTATTGTTAATGTGTTGTGCAATAGATTTATAAATTAAACTTATTGTTTAGGGGTGAGGGTCGCCGATGAGGGGGTTTAAGGGGAGGGGTGTATTATTTACCCGTTATTACCAAGTAATAATTTGGTAGGAAATTTCCTAACACTTAAAAAGTTTATTATTTCAGCAAAAATTTTGTAATTTTAAGCGCCGATTGAAAACATCTGTCTCTTTAGGTATTAAAGTCACGAGTTGTGAGAAAAGCCGACAAAAATAGCCAGAATTTGTCAGAAAATGTATTATTCATTACAATTGGCAATCATTTGTTAATTAAGCCTTAAATGATTCACGCATTGCATGAAATTGCATGCGATTCCTGTGTATTATACGATATATTAAGTTATATTTGCTTTAAATATCTCTTATCTTTTATATGCAATACATGTAGTGATCGTGAAAGTGGTGCACAAATCGTTAGGTTTCTATCAATTCAATCAATTTCATTGACTGACTTATTATGTAATGCGAGAGAGAGAGAGAGAGAGAGAGAGAGAGATATTTCTTAATTATAGTCATAAAAACATTTGAAGTGATAAATTATGAGTTGAGAAAAATAAATAGTTTAACAGTTTTCTCCATTAAAAAATACTCTCTCTCTCTCTCTCCTCTCATTTAATCAATTGATTGGTTTTTTATTTAATTAAATTAAATACAAGTTTTACTACAAATTAAAAAGTTTTGTAACAAAACCAATGATTAGAGTCTAATCATTAGACACACAATTGATGTAATATAAAACCTATGAAACAAAATGCTTTACGTTATGTCTTATCGTAGATAACAATTACTTAATTACTAAAGAGTGGCTTCAATTGATAACTCAATTATAAGTTTTTGCACATTTATTAAAGCATTTGATTAATAACTTATCAAACGATTGATTACACATAAATTGAACGACAATTTTCACTACAATTACCGTATAATTAATGCCACAAAAATGTTTGTTTCTCTCGCAACAGATAAACGTCAATACATTTCTCATAAATATTGAAATATTAATTCATTAAAATCTATATCACATCCATATTAATAGCCGACAATTAATGTCTAGCAATGGGTTTGTTTGACTCCAAAGGCCAGTGAATAAATGTTGGGATCAATTGACAGATCAAACAATCGACACAACCTGTCAATGGATGGACACAATAGTCTTCACGACATAATGTAATCACCATTAGATCCAAACGATATGTTTGTTTAGTGTCTGGTTTTTTGGGCACCGATTTTGACAATACATTTCAAACAACAAAACAAAACAACAAAAAACTTTTGTTGTTTTCATCAAAACATTCAATGAGTTTTCACTTTTTATTTAATGACAATTGTATTGACAAAATTCAGTGAAAATCATGTTTTTAAAGGGCTTTAAAATGCAAACCTCTTTAAACGTAATATCGTTAACAAAATATTGTAATAAATAATACATTTATGGCTTAAATATTGTGTCATTTATTTCGCATATATAATGATATAATGCCTTAAAAAGCGAGTATTTATGTCAGAAATTAGGCCATCATTTCAGATGAGATAATCAACTCTTGTGTTAAGAAACCCATAATTACTACACGAATATCAATAGCCTTACCATCTGTGACCAAATGGCTTCGGTTGGGATCAGATGCGACAGTGTCTTCACGAGCGACGATAACTGGAGCTGCGGATCAGTCTTCGGGATGTCTTATGAGTGCAATCGATGTCCACAACAACACAAATATCATTAAAACACACAAACACTCGGCTTTTCAACAATAATACCGCCAATCGTTGGCCACTAATCCATGTGTTGAAGACCGACGGCTGGCATATATGGGCCACACATGGGATGAGTGGTTGTCAGCACTTCTTGTGGGACCAATTGGCCGATCAAATGGTCACTAAGTTTTTGGTGTAGTGTTTGTTATGAATCACTCAATCAATTGCTCACAAAAATCTCTCTCACAGTCTGTGTGTCTCTCATAGGACTCCCTCTCTAACAGTGTATTGCACTGTATTTTATTGGTGTTAAGCACTCAACACAAGCCATACATTACGTCCGATAAATAATTATACGATCAAAGCCTCTGACGTACGGAAAGGGCTGTCATTTGCGGTCCAAATACTGGACGTATAGTATGAGTGCCGAAGCGCTATAAAAGCCACTCCTTTAGGTTCGCTGTGTTTTTTCATATCCAAAACTTAGCGCTAAAAGTGTTATTAAATTTCGGTATTTGTGTTGAAAATTGTATTTTTCCAATCAATAAAACCTTTGCCCGTATTTTGTAAATGTTTTTCAAATGTGTTTTGCTTTGAAATAAATGTCTCTAAAGTTTTAAAACATTTGAAACAAAATCCCAATATATTTGGTGGCCTTAAAGGGCGACACCTGTTGTCTGGCATTCATAGCAAACACGAATCGCCTCATCGTTGGCCTCACATCAATCACGTCAACCATTTGTGCACAATATTATGTAATCGTTAACAGTGTTTGACAGCCACTCCTTGTGTAGCCCCTGTAGACAGCGGTGTTTGCTTTACAGCATAACATAGCGCTGGCATTGAACGGCGTTTTCGAATGAATGCAGTGAAAGTGAATTCCATTCGGGAGTAATAGACAGTGAGTTTGTGAACACACGTGTGTTAACACAAACACAATTGTATTGATTTTGATATCATTTTGTTTAGCTTTTAGTTAATTGTTAATTGATTTCATCACTCGATTGTAATCACAAAACACAATACAAATCAACACAAATGTAAACAATTAATTAATTGATTGATTATTTGATACATTAATCCCAGTATTTAATAAACTCTTCATTGAATTGCTGTCCAATTGATTGATTTGTTTTGATTGACTGCTATTTAAACACCTATTGATTGATTGTTTGCCGGATTTAGACTCACTTTCTGGACGACCACTCGTTGCCGGCGGCGAAGACTTGGATAGTGTGGCCGAAGAGGTCTGACATTTAGAGATAACACCAGAAGTTATGATATCAAAGACGGCGTTAGGAGTGGCGGCCGGAGTGGTCGGTGTCGTCGCCTATTGTGTATACTTTGACCGCAAACGCCGAGCGGATCCAGACTTTAAGAAGAAACTGCGCGAAAGTAATTATTGAATACTTCCAGCGCCTGAAGAAACGTTTGTTTAATGAATTTTGTATTCAATTGTGTTTTAATTAACGTTTAGAGCGAAAAATGGCGGCAAAGGCTCGCGAGTCCGGCGACCACTTGTCGATGGATATACCGGATCTGCGCGACTACGAGGCTGTCCAGCAGTTCTTTATCAAAGAGGTCCAATTGGGCGAAGAACTACTCGCCGCCGGTAGTGATCACTAAATTGATATTTTTTGAATTGAATTTTATTGAATGATTTAATTGTGTGCTTTTAGGCGACATCGAGACCGGAATCGAGCACTTGAGTAATGCGGTGGCCGTTTGCGGACAACCGCAACAACTTCTTCAGGTTCTGCAACAGACACTTCCACCGCAAGTGTTCAATCTGTTGCTCCAGAGACTGCCTGTCGTCAGTCAGGTTTGTAAACTGTTTTGCGCTTTAATCGCAATTATAACTGCATTTCATTAATTAATTAATGTTTGTTTGTATAGAAATTGGCTAAATCTATGGGCGGCGGCGCTACTGGACCCGAGCCGCCGATGTCGGCCACCATTACGGAAGCGATGGCTGAAGAAGACGTTGAATAAGATATTAGTGGATAATTTTTTTAATACTAGCGTTTTTCATATGATTTTTCTTTACATTTTAAAAACTTTTCGAAATACAGTTATATTTTTCATTATATATTCAATTAGTATTTTTGCGTTTAATTTCTCGATTTGTATTGAAGTTTGTGTTCAATTGTTTTCACTTTCCGTGCCATTGATTATATGTATGGTTTTGAACTCGCATTTGATTATTTACTAAATAATTACATATATATTAATGAGAAATAATATTTTAAAATGTTTTAAATTTGTCTAATGTTTAGTCAATAAAATGAAAATATTAATAAAACTACAATTTAAGTGAAACTCATTTTCATTGAATTAGAATTAATGAAAATAAAGCCATAAATCTAAACGATAAACGACTCAAACGGATATGACATTCAATATTAAGTGGAGTGAATTGAAAGGTGTATTCAAATGTGAATTATATGATAATTACTGCCAGTAATTATCGTTTTAACGATTAAAAGTGTCTGTAATTTGAATTCATATGGGGGTAGAGCAGCAAAGTGGGGGTATATTTGACACAATATGGTTAAAACTTATAACCAATGAATTGCATCATTAATTGAAAAGCGATTCAAACCACTTCCCACTCGATTTGATAGGAAATTAAATATTGGTTTTTAATGTAATATCACTTTTTTGTCTTCAATTTTAATCATTATATCAACGAATAGTGTATTGTATTGAGTCGTTGATTAAATATATGATATGTAAACTGAATCCTTATGTAAATCTCTCACTTTTACCATAAATATCTAAAGCATGAGTCAACTCTCTCTCTCTCTCTCTCTCTCTCTCTCTCCATAAATATTAGGATAACAATAAAATGAACTCCCATTTCATACTAATATCCCCTCTTA